TTATTTTAATCTAATCTATGTCAAAAAAATAATAATAATCAATAATAGACCAAAGTAAATAGTAAATTAACAACAAACTTTTTCTATATAACCATTCTTTTGTTTGAATACAAGTCATTGTGGTGACGGACAAGGAAAATGTAATATGTTGTTCTCCTTGGCCTATTTTTTTATGCCGTCGACTAACTTTTCCACTTTCACGTGGAATCTGTTTGCTTGCTTATCGAGTTATGTTAACAGTTGTCTTGTGGAATATCTGTCCTTTTCTAGCATCTTCCTTGCTGCTTACCGAATCTGGAGTGTTACTTAAAATAAGTTTATCTTCATTGTTTAGTTTAGCATCTTATTTTTTGAATATATTAATGTATTTCTTTCTCTGTCTTGTTTTGAATCTTTTATGTATAGACTATCAGAAATTTTAAAATTCTAATCTGATCTATTTTTTTCACTGATTTTTTTTTTAATATGTTTTTCTATTAGCTGAATTTATTAATAAACAAACATTCTATACATTTCATTTGTTAGAATAGGCTCCTTTTGCCCCCTTTTTTTTTATCACAGGCCCCCATACCAAGCTTTTGACAATCCTGTGTAGAAGTATTTCTATAATAATTTTTTATACAAAATTTTTAACTGATATTCTAAGTAAAGTTGTATTAAAAATAAAATTTTTACTTGTCTCTTTAGATTCTCCAGACTCTGCTAGGAGAGAAATTGGATTTTTCTTTCCAAATTTCGATGCAGTCAGCTGGTATCAGAAACAAGAACCATTATATCGCAACGGACAAGCCATGCTGGATAAGGAAAAGTGGATCCACACCATTATCCCGACACCCATGTTAGACATGTCATTTACCACGAAACGTCCCATGGGGACAGTTTAGGCATAATTAACAGTATACTTTGTACATTTGATACCAAAGTTTTATATTTTTCAATATACTTTAAACTAAAGAAAAGGACAAAAAAAAAATGCTCATCAACTTTTATCTAAAATTTTTTTGTATAGAAGTTATCCTTTAAATCCCTGTAAATATATTATTTATGTGCATTTTTACATTTGAGAAAAAACATTTAGATTTAGATTTCAAACACTGTACTTAAATTCCTGTGATTTCACAGTACTTCATCTCATATATAGAACTGTGTACAGTTGTTTTTGACTATTATTAATTGCATTACACGTTTTTGTTTATTGTAATAAAATTTAATAAATATAATTCATGTCTGATAGTTTCATTTAATACTTTGGCTCTGGCCTGCCTATAAATAGACGAAAGTGTCAGTTGGCTGGATGACCAAAGCAGTAAAGGCATTCATATGCTGCTATTCAAGACTGAGTTCGTTCAAAATTCTGCCCTCATATTTTTCAGTTCATCTTGAGCATTGTTCATTGGTATTTAAAATTTTAGTTATTTTGATGTAACGGACATTGAAATAAATTACAAAAAGTTTGTTTATAAAAAAATTTGAAAAAGATAAAGTGAAAAATCAATTGCTCACAGCTGCTCCCTTTCTATCTTCGTCCACATTGCAGATTGGATTATCTGTTATATATGCAAAATCCAGTTACAACACGTGTCTTGTGTGTTAGTATCACTACAGTACGATAAGTTTCATAAGCAGCTTCGTTGAGCAACTCTCCTCAAAATATTTGCATAATATAAATAAGAAAATTAAATATCTTTATTTAAATCAAATGCAAATGAGCCAAAAGTTTTGCGTTTGGGAAAGTTACTGAAATTTTTTCTAAAGGAAACTTTATACAATACATATTCATGTATTATGTTATATACGGTAAGCATTATTTATTGTGATCACTGGTTATTAGAATCAACTACAAGGATCCATTGCAAACAGTAAAATTCGCTGCATTTTAGTCAATTATTAGAATCATTAAGTTATAAATTGATTTCATAGCATTACTTAGTATTTAGAACAACGAATCCTCAAAACCAACTACTTGATGCGCTTGTGGCACACGATTCTGGAACATGGCCTGATCAGCCACTGACCATTAGAAAGTCTGATAATTTTTAATTATTCTAGGATATAAAATCTTCACCTTTCGCCATGCTTTACCCTCACTCCGTTTCTTACAAGCCACGGTAATTTCAAGCAATATATGCACGCGTTCAACGTTGAGGACAGCCCGTACTGCTAGTGCGAGCTGCAGGAGGAACAAACGCCAATGTACAGTACTTAATTTCCCACTGAGATAGGTACTGTACACTAACATTAGGAATGGATTTATGAGAGCGGCAATTTCGGAAGGATACAATTGGCCATGCACACCACAGCCTCGTCCGGACACGTACAGTACAACGTAACATCACTTACTTTCATTCATATGCCACAGCAAAGCTCTTGTGCTCTCCCTCCATGGCACACAATTTTCCTTTCTAGCTAGGCGCCAGGTCAGGTTGGTGTAGTTAGCATAGCATAGAACATTTAAACACTTGAGCATATTGTAAGCTAATAAATGTTTTAATTGAACAAATTTATGCTGCTTAATGGTACTTTTTTTAATTTAACTTCGTTCGGCACTCCGTTACTGTAAAACAACAGAGAAAAACATTGTTATAGTGATAATAACTTTAAAACTTGGGATTGGAACTTACTGACACAAGTAAGTTTTTCAAATTTTCCACTTATTACTGTATATTGTTTTTCTAGGATTTAGAACATTGGCAATGAGTGCGAGTAGAGATCGTGATAAAAATAGAAATTAATTAAGTGGTAATCAGAAAAGAAAACGTGCCGAAAATAAAAAAGATTTAGAAAGTCGTCAAACATATAGTCTTTTAAAATATTTAAAAACTGATAACGAAGAAAACGTTCTGTCTATAGCTAGTACTAGTGTACAAAATACAGAAGAGTTACAAATTACAGTACATACAAAGAATTACCTTCATTATTGAATGAAGATGGAGCTATAAATGATGAAGAAGGTCAAGAAGATTTTTTTCTTAGCGCAAACGAGGAAACTAAAGAATTATCAACCATATTGGAAGACGATCCTGGAACACGGCCATCACACCCTTCTGAGAAAATCGGATTATTATTAATTAATAAAAACAATGTTCAAGTAACAAATTACGATTTTCCCATAGATGAACTAGGTAGAATGTTCCTCATTCAGATGTATCGAAATAGTACGGACAGACACAAGGACCTGTAGTGATAGCGGACAACGATACACGGTCGGGTGTGTGCGTGCTTGTCGGAAAACGAGCGCTCCTCTCAAACTAGTGGTCTGCCAAGGGCGAATTGAATTTGGGCGCCGTGTGTACGACGTCTCTCTCATTCACTGGCCCACAGTGGACGAGAGAGACGTTGCATTTTCTGAAAGCAAGTTAAATTCCTCCTGATATGCTAAGAGCTACTGTTAAGAACACAGTAATGCGATGTCAAAAATGGTGGACACTGTATTGAATATACTCTGTAACGCGTTTTAAAACCGATTAAAAACATTTTCAACGATGTCTTCGTGTCTTATTTCGTTTAACAATATTGCAGACAGCGCCATTTCCCGTTGGTGGTGAGTTTTTGAACTATTTTTTGCGGGAAATAAAAATCCAATGACGTCCTGTACACTATTACCAAGTTTGATAGCATTCTGTCCAGTAGTTTTCATTTTATGGCCGTTTCAAAGTGGAACTTTAATTATAAACACCCTTTATATATATAAACATTGAAGAGATTTATAGCAATCTTTATTTTAACTTTCCTTTATATAATTTAAATATTTCAAGAATGGTTTATCTTCTTCTAAACATCTTCATATACTGATTAATTATATGTAATTTTTTTTTTTAAATATATTGAAAGTAATAACGAGTTGACTATAAATATATTAATAAATACAATTTATATGTTTTAGACACGGACTTATGTTACATCAGTAAAATATTTTTCTTATTTCAATATTTAAAATATTACTTTTTATTTTTTTTCGGATCAATAGGTATTAAGTTAAAAGTAGTTTTAAAAGTCTAAAAAATGCAAATTTATTACACAAGTAGCATTCTACTCCATTGTTAAATTAATACAGTAGAGTACAACACATGGTGTTAGTCAGCGTCCTCTTTAGTTTATATTTTATACTAAAATAATAAAACTAAATCGATCAAAAGCGCAGCGCGATATTCATTTACTGTAGAGCATGGCGAAGTTTCAAAGTGATTTAAATTCTGGAATTCATTGCCCCGTACACGGATGGAAACGTTCTTCATTTCATATATGTAATTCCTCTCCTCCTTCTTCTAAGAAATGTATATCTACTACGAAATATTGTTTAAATATCTTTAAAGAATCCTCAATACCCGGAGTTAACAATATAGCTGCTGCTAAAGGGAAATTTGAAAGGTTTATTTGGATATTTATCGTTATTTGTTGCTTGACTGGATTCATATACCAAGTAACACTCTTTCTTCGACATTATTATAACTATCCTACAAGAGTACAAGTACTTGTTAAGACGGAAGGTTTAATGGAGTTCCCTTCTGTAACGCTCTGTAACAACAACAGGTATAGAGTGAGATTCATTTGATTCCTTTAATTTATAAAGAATTATTCAAAGATTTCTGTTTTAAATTTAATTTACAGAATTAGGAAGAGCGAATATTGTAAGTATAATAAGAGTTCGTGCTCTTCTGATCCTATAGAACTTGACGAAATGAAAGTAAGTTATTTCATGTTAATATACGTTTAATAACGCAGATTTACACATAAACTATAATAGGACCTCTTGCTTTTAAGTTTATTATTATTATATATTGCGAGTACCACCGTGCTCGAATGGATTAACTGCTGAACAATTTTGCGCCTCCTTTCTCTGGTATTTTACTCGCGTGTTTAGCAAGTCCTCCTGGGAGGCGACACTTTGGCATTCCTTCTGTGTGTTGTGTTGTCATGTCCCATCAAACAAACACGTTGAAAATAAAGGGAATCTTCTAATGGAGGAGAAGGCTATTAGTTAATTACACGCGAAAATATTGGTATAGTGTCAAATTTGACTTTTCGGGTTTCTTTTCCAGACCCAATGTACCCAAAAGATTGGGGAAAATTCCGTGTGTAAGCATGTTTTGTTTAATATCTCAGAATGGGCACGGTAACTTGTATATCAAGGACATTGATGCTATTAAATTTTGATAGTTAAAGTTTGAAGGGATGAAGAGGTAGAATAAGTCATGTATTATATATCGAGTGGGGTCGGACTTAGTAAAAATTTTAATCGTTATAATCATTTATAATATGTTTATAAACTCAACTTTATTCTCAAGAGTAAGCCTTTTGCTATTTTTATTATAATTAATAATATAAAAGTTATTTTTTTTAATATAATCGCATTACAGCGCTTCATACAATTTTAAACTTTGCTAATATTTTTCGCCGGAAAAGTTATGCAACTCGTTACAGGGTTTTTAATTAATTAATTTGTTGTATTAACCGATAACCTCCTATCGAACCTAACAAGACGTATATAGTTTTACAATATTAAAAAGATTATAGCGTGTATTTGTTGTCCACTTCGTTTTAATTGCTACCAGAGTGATTATCTGATAATGCCATACTTGATAACATTAAAAAATTAACTTAATATACGAGGAGAAAGTGATAAAGAAATAAAGAATTGATATTATATGCAAAATTTTAAATATTGAATTAAAATAATGATAATAAAATTATATATATATATTTGTAGCTGAAAGAAAAAGAAATTCCCAAGTTACAACTTCAGCTTCTAGTTGAAGATAGGCCCGATATTCGGAAGATTTTGGGTCATAATATATCGGATATGATAGTCTCGTGTACATTTACAGGCATACCGCCCATGAAAGGAAGAGAATGTGTCAAGTTAGTTTATATATATTTTATTAAATTCGCAATTAATTCAAATTAAAAATGTGTGTGTGAAATTTTTGAAATATTTTCAGCCGTTTTGAATATTTTTATGATCCGGATTTCGGGAATTGTTATAGTTTAGAATCGGTAGAAGACGATGGAGACGCCCTAAGAGCTTCTGAATCTGATGTTTGGCAAGAATTAAGTGGTAAAGATTATTTTGCAATTGTAGATTTCAATTTTATGATGTACGATTATTTATTTAACTGTATTTAATTGGGATCTATTCGTCATTCACTTGTGTGTGGGCCTAGACGAACTTGAATGGAAACGAATAGAACGGCCCATTACAAGGGTATAATTTTGAGGTCGTTTTGTGAGTAAAAGAGCTAAAAGAAAGCAAGTCAGCTTTACTTTGCTTTGGATCTTGTGGGCCTTACTGAACTTCCTAAAAAGAGACCTTCTTAGTACCTGCAGGACGAAGAGTTTTAATACTCGATAAGTATACGACAATACGTCGGAATTTATACGTGAAGAGATAATCGCCTTTAATGTATGTTTATTAATTATTATGTAACAATAAAAACACGATGAAGAGTTACGTATACAAGTATTAAAAGTTCTTTTGTTTCTAGGTTAAGGTTAAATATAAATAAAATGGTGTCGGCGATCTGAATACCTCGTGATGGACAGACATTGATCTTATTTTAGTGAAAGAAGCGATCGATCAATTTCACACTTTTGTTGCCATTTTATTGTAAAAATAATAAAATTAATCTAGCGTATTTTATAGTATGAAAGATGTCATAACTCGATCCTCTTTCATCAGTCAATTCGAAAAGTTTGTAAACTTTTTGATCCATTTGACTAATTTTTAAGTAAGTTAGTAAGAGAAGGGTCGATAATGTAGACTATAAATAATGATACTATTATTTAAACAGTAGTTTTAGGTACTAAATTAGTAAATAGTAGCTGTTTAAACCAACAGTTTTAAATAGTAATAATCGAATTCCTGTAAACAATTGTTTTAAACAATAATAGACTAAACAGTAGCTTTAAGTATAAAACACTTGTTTTAAACAGTAAAACAGTAGGAACAATAAATCAATGTAACAATTCTATTGATTGAAAATGTTTCCTACAAAAAAGCATATAACAGCTTGCCTCTGTTTACCAATTAATTTACTTCAGCAAATAAACAGTTTGTATTGTGTATACAATATAAGTTTATTGTAGTATATTATTAAGAATTCGCATTGAATATTTTAAGGAAAGACAGCCAGACGTACAACAGTGGGAATTTATAGGCCATATATCAATTTGAATTAATTAACTCGATTAAAAAATTTAATTGTGTATAATTAAACACGAACATAAAGGTGCGAATGAATGTAGGGGTTGTCTATTCATGATATTTCCTGCGTTAAGAACGAGAAATAATTTTAAAAAATTGCATAGCAATAGACAGATATTTTTATAAACTATTTCCTATTCAACCGAGTGTTGCGTGATTTGTTTCACTTCAAAATAAATAGATGTTGAAAGCAGTCCATAAAGTTTTTACACATTTCCTCAACGAACAGTTTTGTTTACTCACTTTATAGCTTAATAACTCCTGTTCTTTTTGTCAAAAATAATTGAAATTTTGCAGGGAGGTTTCTGTATTAGGGTGTTTGATTCTATTAAATTTTGGTGGTTAAAGGTCGAGGAAGTGAGGAGATACGTGTCATACATATCTCGAGTAGGACAGGACTTAATGAAAATTTTACTCGTTATTAACATCTCTATAACTTATATAAACATTCTTATAGGTTAATAAGTTTTAAGCTATTTAAAACTAAATATTTATTTACAGAATTAGTTTTAGTTTTGAACGTTGAAGAAGATGAATATTTGGAACCGTCGAGAGACGTAGCCATTACAGTTGTTATGCATACTACAGATGTTTATCCTGATCCTTTTTCGGAAGGACACGAAATTCGTCCGGGATTTTCTTATAAATTTGGCGTACAAAAGGTTTAAATATCTATTTAAATATATAATATTAACGTATATATTCAATAAAATGTAATAAAGAAAAAAAAAATGAATTTTTTCAGACATCCATTCAGTTACTTCCACCTCCTTATAAAACTAATTGTACAGAATATAGTAAATTGGAATGGGAAAAGAACAACGATAGGATGTCAAATACAAGAGTAAATACACTTTAAATATACTTTACCGCAAGTTAATTAAATTTAGATGTTAAATCTTTCAATAATTTTAGATGTGTACTGCAGAATGTTCCCAGTCTATCCAATTGAAGAAGTGTAATTACATTACTGATGAATTAAGTCTATTTTTTGACGACGTTCCCTGGAAAGATGGAGAGAAAGACGAAGGTATAAGCT